TCGACGTGAACGAGCTTAACGCTCTTCTCGCGCGATTAGAGGTCTCGCCTACAGGGATAACATCTCCAGAGTACGCACACACCGCAGACGAAGAAGTCGATGAAGTCCAGTACATTGAAGACGAAGAGGCATAAGAATACACCGCACCGCCGTCGCCTAAGTACGTGGAGTCACGATTCGAACTTAATACACCACCGCGGACGCCACCCACCTCGTTCTTCGCAGGCCTTGAGGAGGCACTCGGAGTGAAGGGGTGGAGGAAGAGACGTGCTTCGATCGCTCCTGAGGCGGTTCATGCACGCGAATCGATCCACGAAGAGTTTCCAATTACCACTCCGCGTACCTCCTGGCAAGCCGCTTTCCTCGGCGGCACTAGAACGGGTAGAAAACGAGTGAAGATGAAGCAAAAGGCGAAGAACGCCGATACCAGCCTGGAAGCGGTAGTATGTTGGAACAACAGACTCGAAGGTCTCACCGTAGCCGGACGTGGTAATGGTATGAACCCTGCCCCTGGGCCCAGGAGGAGTCTTAGAAACCCTGGGTGTGAGCGTGCCTTCGACCTCCGTCAGGGAAGAAACCACGTTGATTCGAGGGTAAAGGAAGACCTTCCCTCTGGGCTAAGCTCCCACAACGGTAGGCCCGTGTCAGGTGACGGGGGGCCCGCGGTTGAGACCGTGGCCTCTAGCGTTCCGGGAGAGGACCGTCCTCTGCCCCAGCGAAAAAGCCAAGCAGGCGTACTACCCCCAGTGCCTCAGAAACATGCCGATCTATACGGCCACCCCTACGAGAGGGGATTCCGAGAAGCGGAAGAGAAGCACCTCGCGAGCCACGATGAGATGGATACATACGTCGTCGTGGACCGTAGAGAAGCCGCCGGGCACCAGATTCTGGGTTGCCGGTGGGTATACGTCTATAAAACGGACGAGAAGGGAGCACTCTAGAAACTCAAGGCAAGGATCGTTGTTCGAGGAGATCAACAGGCTAAAAACGCTTTCAAGGATACATACGCTGCGACCCTCGCTGGACAATCGTTCCGAACCCTTATTGCCACCGCGGCCCAGCAAGATCTTACCTTACTGCAGTACGACGCAGTTAATGCCTTTGTCCACGCTCCGATCGACGAGACAGTATATATGGAGTTTCCACCGGGCCATGAGCAGCAGGGGAAGGTCCTGCGGCTGAAGAAGGCTCTATACGGCCTTCGCAGGTCCCCTCTACTGTGGCAACGGCATCTAGAGAACGGTCTGAAAGCAATGGGGATGGAACGCGTCGCAGGCGAGAATTGCTGCTGGCGGAAGGGACGCGTGCTCTTCTTCTTCTATGTCGACGACTGTGTTCTCGCGTTTCCCCCTGAGTGTAGAAACGCTGCTGAGCGCCTCATTAACGGGCTCAAAGAGAAGTACCACCTGGAAGGCGGAGACCCTCTTCACTGGTTTCTAGGAATCGAGGTCACGCGCGACCGAGCCAAGAAGAAAATCTGGCTATCTCAGGCAGCATACGCACAGAAGATCGCACGGTTGATTGGTCAAGGCACACATAAAGGATCACAGAGGAAGAACACTCGATTTACGACACCTATGACGAACGAGGAGCTACTGCCCGCCGAGGAGCACGCCTCAAAGAGCGAAATAACGGCATACCAACGAAAGATTGGATCGATCCTATACTTGGCGGTGATGACGCGCCCCGATATCGCCTTTGCTGCAAGCCGTCTGGCGAGGTTTAACTAGAATCCCTCTCAGAAGCATCATCGCGCTGCAGATCGAGTATTGCAGTACATCTTGGACACCTGCTTCCTTAGTCTCGAGTACGATGGCAACAACAAGAGTTTCGAAGTCGCATCAGACGCCAGCTTCGCAGATAACTCGCTAGATCGAAAGAGCTCTCAGGCGTACGCACTACGGCTTGCTGGAGGATTGATCGGATGGAGAGCGAACAAACAAGACACAGTCATAACATCAACGACAGAAGCAGAGCTTCTCGCCCTCTCACAAGCAGCACGCGAAGCTATATTCGTTAGCCGTCTGTTGAGTGCTCTTAATACGACGATTCCAAGCGGCGGAATAACGATCCAGTGCGACAACCTCTAGACGATTCGAATAGTAACTGAGGAACTCGTGACTCTAAAGACGAGGCTTCGTCACGTTGATATACACAACCACTGGTTGAGACAGGAGGTTGAGAACGGCACCATCAACGTCGTCCACACACCAACGAAAGACCTTGTTGCGGACGGACTCACGAAGAGCCTCGCAAGGCAACCGTTTGAAGACTTCATAAAACAGCTCAACTTGGTGAAGAAGGAGACGGAACCACTACGCGAAGAGAGGGACCCTCTCGCAGAGACCGCATGGAGCGGAGGGATCTTTGAAGGAGGAGAGGAATAAGGAAGAAGTCGGTTGGCCTGCCACCCCTAAGGGTAGCCTCCGCTGCTGCGTATGAAGCGCGCAGGAGCGCCCTAGGACCGAGGTCTCGAGCCGCGAAGGCTAAAGGGGTGTGTCAAAAAGGGTGGTAGGCCAGGGGCGCTGGAAGCGATGCACACGCAGAGCGCCTAGGATGCCAGGAAGGCGCTAGGAGGAATGTTTGGCCGAGGACCGCGCTAGGTGCGCTTAGTCACAGGGAACACGCCGGAAGAAGGCGCGTAAGGGATACGGACAGGTCTTAGGAAAAGAAGAAGCACAATACACATCACGATTGACCCCTGAATGTGCGCCTACGAATATTCGAACATAAACATCTAACTACCACCCCAAATCTTTCGGCCGCCACTGGCGACCCAAACATCCAACTACCACCCCCACTAAATCTTTCGGCCGCCACTGGCGACCCAAACATCTAACTACCACCCCAAATCTTTCGGCCGCCACTGGCGACCCAAACATCCAACTACCACCCCCACTAAATCTTTCGGCCGCCACTGGCGACCCAAACATCTAACTACCACCCCCACTAAATCTTTCGGCCGCCACTGGCGACCTAAACATCCAACTACTACCCCAACTAAATCTTTTAGCCGCCACTGGCGACCTAAAGAAATAGTTTGATCCCTATGTGTTATCCTCCCTATCCAGACTATGTACAAAATCAATCAAAGGTAGCTCTAGAATATCCTTCTTCAGTCTCCCATCTTTTATCATTCTCAAGGCTTTTGTAACCTCAATAGTACCATCAGCCAAAAATCCTTTAACAATACTCTTCTCAACTGCCTTACAGATAGTATATACCTGTGGCATTTGAGATACGAGCAAATCGAAAACAGCCTCAATCCTTTCTCTCCTTGGAACCTTGCTGTTCCCGTCAATGTTCCCACCGCCAAAACGCTTCCACCAAGAGCTAATAGTACTTGGTATAAACACCAGAACTCCTATTCCTAGCCTTTCCACCAGAACTCCAATAATAGTATAGTCGTAAATCATATCCTTCAATCTCTTCTCCTTTGTAAAACCAAGACCTCGAGCAAGATACATAGCAACCCCAGTATCTACACCTTGTCCCTGGCGTAGCCGAATGCCTTGATCTCCAAGGAAAGCCTTCATTTCTGAAGCCTTCTGCATGTCTCCTTGGTAGAGTCGTCTAACAGTCTGCCACTGGTCCCAAACTTCGAACTGCTTTGCGTACAAATGTAGCTTGGCAGCCGCTGCCTGCAAACCAAGACTCTCCCCGTCAACCCGACCCCAGGCCTCCGCAAACCTAGCAAGCTCTTCCGCATTATGCTGTCGCAGGTCGCTTGCCAGTTGCTTTGTCTGAAATCGCCGTTCAACTGCAGGCTTGCCAGTAGAGTAGTTACACTCCACCAACAAGTCATACAACTGATCTTTGATCTTACCCCCAAACATACGGCAAAATAATAACTCTCCAATTTGGTAACAGTCTTCTTCCCTAAGGCGTGGACTTGATGGGTCAATCAGTCCTATACCAGCAGAAGTAAACCTATTCCACTGGTCTTGCATCTCATTCCTTATTGTCGAAGAATTTTTCTCGTTGATCTGTCTTTTGAGACCTTCAAGAGTCCGGGGTGCCTTCTTCAGTTTCACGCCCGCTGCACATTGCTGTTGAGGTTCTGTCTCACCAGAACCAACTCGGGATGGTAATATCTTTCTCCTGTCGGCTGCGACCGGCTCCGTCTCTTTCGATTGAATATTGCTTGTTCTGTGCGAGTCGCCATCTATGATTGCCCCGGCACTGGCGGTGATGTCGTCGGATCCATGAAGAAATGGCTGCTCACTTCTTTGTTGCTCTTCACTTTCCTGTTCGGTCGTGTGCTTTGTTGTGCTTATTGGGTCGTTGGTCGACCCAGACGAATCACGATTTCTTAAGGTCTTCTCAACCTCCTCACCTAAATCACTAAGTATTAGTAATTAAAGCCTTATATGCAAAAGCAGAACTTACTGATTATAGACCAGTCATAATTTAAACAAAGAAGAATATCAGCTATAGCTGCTATACTTATAATATAAGTTGTAATATGTGTTTTTTGTTTAGCGATACTGAGGCTCTTGTACTCCCTAATCAACGCTGGTAAGGGCATTCGGGGAACTTGACGGAATGTTGATTTTTGCTGAGAAGATGGGTTGCTACTACCGTGTCTGCTTTGCCGTGGGGATTGCGGTAATAATACCTCGCCCTCCTGGACTTGCCCCTGCCGTGGAGTGGACTCAACAATGTCGTTGAAGTGGACCCTTTTGCGTTTATGCATCTCGGATGCTACTTAAATAGATTCTTTCTAACTGACGGAAGAAAGTTTTTATATGAAGGAGATTGTGCGTTTATTTATCCTTAGCGATGGATTAATACCCGCACTCTCCTACCCTAGCCCATGCCTTCTTCCACCCCTCAACCCTAGCTCATACGCCCCCTAGTAATGCAACTACAAGGCATAGCCAGACACGCTAGGCCATCATACACTAGTCATAAGTTTTCTTTCCCTGATATTCAATGCATGCATAAATCAAGGAAATCTGCCTTTGAAAGATTCTAACCTTCCCTATTTTCTTGTGATGCTATACAACCCCGTCTGCCACGCAGCCTTCAACCTCCTGCCTTATCTTGCTCGCTGTCCAGATGTTTCTCATCCCGATTGGAATCTCCCATCCAATCTTCCTCGCCGTATCGTTGTGATGAAGCATATAGTACCTTTCCTTCAAGCCTACAATATCTAGAGGCAAATATTTCGCGCCAGGCTTCTGACCTTGATAACATACACCGGTGCATAAGATGCATCTTGTGTTCGTCTGGTGATCTTTGCTCTTGACGAGGCTGCCATTCTCGCCTGGAAATGGGAATGCGGAGTGCTGTGAAAAGAAGAGTGCCTTATGCTGTTCTTCAAACGATTCGGGCGTAATAGGAGCGTCTCGACGACTGTGAAGTCTGATCTGGCGGCTGATTGTGTCGCTCATACTCTTATACCAGCTCCTCCAATTTTCGTTCTTGAAAGTTGATCCTGGATCCTTCCTCGATTTCCCCCTTTCCGGGTCTCTAGGCATATCGGCCCAAGTAAACTTCCAGAAAAGTTTCTGTTCATCGAGACTATCGTCACAGACCCAATCCAGCACCGTACTACGGTCGATATTAAAGTCTAAACCACCATACTCAACAGACGGCGCGATGGTCGAGACATTACCGATACTCCCTTCAGAGGAACTGTCGCTGTCGTCATTATCTAACGCGTCTGGCTGAGTAGCTGCCAGGCGGTCTTCGTCGGCTAACTGCGAAGCAGTGTCGCCATCTTCAGCTCCAGAGCCTCTGCTTCCGAAGTAGTCGCTTTCGAAGTCGTCGCTTTCGAACCCGTATCCTGAAGTGCCATCTCTCATAGCAGCAAAACCCGCTAGTATCGCCTGGCTATCTAACCGTGCCATGGTTTTGTTCAAAGTGTAATAATAATCCCGTCTTTTAAAATAGATGTTAATCCCAAGGACGAAGAAAGATATAGTTCATATCTTGGAGTTTGATCTCACCAAAACTAAACAATTCCTAACACTAAGTATCTCTAACCCTAAACGATCCCTCGTTAGCTGTTCCCTCAAACAGTCCAGTCCTCCTACGTCAAAACCCTCCCTATACCTAGTGCCCTTCAACCACAGGCTTCAACCGCGTCGCCGAACAAACCACACAAGATGGATCAAGGCCCCTTACATCGGACAAAGTACTACCGACTACCAAAGGCATCTACCCCCTAGTCCTAGTCGAGGTTGTATTACCTTCAACCAGCCACCCCTACATATATCCACCTAGAGACGGTGTTGTTACCTTTTTAATTAAAATTTCATTGCGCTATCCTGTATCCCTGGGCCCCTCGTGACACGAGAAATTTTCAAGGGCATATTTCCTTGAAATAATTAATACCTTAAATCCACCTTACCCATGTCTACGTTTACTCGTGATGAATCGCAAGGGTGTGATTCGAACTTTTAATAATCAACAAATCCTACATTAGGTTCTATTTTACTCTACGGATATGGTTTGCTATTCGCCCGTTCGACCATGGACTAGCACCATCCCTACACTGGGAAACTTCCATGACTCATGAGGGTTTCAACTATACCTCTCCTTGAAACCCCATGAGCAGATTGATAGATTGTCCGTGCATTTTTTTCTTCTCTCGTATTTAGCTCTATTTCGGGGTAACCAGGCCACTCAGTCGGATGGGGGGAAGGGGGCTTGGGCGTCTATAGGGTTGGGTAATACCCGCGGGTACCCGTATGGGTAGTACCCAAAACTACCCGTGGGTAGTTTGGGTAAACCCGAATTACCCACGGGCAGTCCCACTATATTTACCCGCGGGTTGAAAGGCCCGTGGGTAAAACGACCCATGGGTTACACTACCCACGGGTAATTTTGCTACCCACAAGAAACGCGGGAAATACTGTAACTAAGATAGAAAGAAAATATAACTAGTTAGTTATAGGGAGAAAGAGTAAGTTACATAAAACATAGATGGCTAGAATAGATTACTACAAATATAAGAAACTAATAGAGAATAATACGATAAAGTCGGAGTGAAATCAGAGGAACAATGTATATTTAATCGCTATCCTCGTCAGGAGAGAGTTCGACAAGATCTAGCCGAGTAAGTCTCTTCCTTTTGCGACCCCCAAGCTCGGAGAAGTTTGGGAGTTCTTGGGATACAGAAGGCGTAGGTGAGTTGCTAAGTTGGGAAACTTGACTCGATAGTTTTGGCTGTTGAGAGCTAGATAAGGATGGCAGCTCCTCATCTCTATCGCTAATATCCTCCTCTTCTACTGAGACTTCGTAAGGAGGCGGGGAGGGAGCATCTCCTGTAGCAGTAATAGAGATCTTAGTAAGATCATCAGAGACCTTCAGATATCTCTGAATATCAGCTTTATCCAATAGAGAAGAGTAGTTAAAAGCTTCTCTAATAATATGCTGGCGCTCTTCAGATGCTTCAGTGATATTCGTGTCATCTGGAACTTCCTCAAGTGTGGTTTGGGAAAGCCAGGCCTCATTATTCTGGCTAATTTTGATAGTCAAAGTATCAAAAATAGTATCAGCCGAAAGGTTGAACCGAGCGTAGTGACAGATATGGCGAGCAAGGCTGAATGATCGCTCTAAGGGTATTGACGTCGGTTGAATAGATAAGAAGTCTCGAGCCATGCGACAAATACCATGGAATCTGGGATAGCTATTGTCTAGGCGGACCCAAAATTGCTGAACAGTTTCATCAGGGAACATAACTAAATATAGTTATTAGCTGTTAAGCCTAGTAAGATATGAGTCTTTATCTTACCAATATTAAAAAAGTCATTACAGATATTTCGTGCGTCTTGGGATGATGACATTTTGCCCTTATAATAGGTTAGTATAGTGAGTTGCTACAATAGATTGCTACAAATACCCTTTTCTTTGGACTGCGTGATAGTAAACTATGCAGAGTGTATCGGAGTCCTTCAGTTGCAGCTTTTTGAGTATTGGTATGGCGTTCCGAATCTTGATGGTACTGCTTTGTATATACCTCGATAAATTCTTGCTGTACTCGAGTTCGAAGTGAGGCTGAAGAAGGAAGGTATTCGAAGTAATTTGCGAATTGGAATCGCGTGTCAAAAGTACTCGAAACTGATGTCCCAGCTTCAGGGGTAAGGAGAGTTGCAATACCATATACCTTGAAGGAATCCTCTTCAATTAGCTTTTGAACGTATTTTTCCAGCTTCTCTTGGCCCTTTTTCGTAGCAGCCTGAAGGATTGATATCCAAGTAAAGTCTTTGCTAGTAACTTTATCTTTAAGTGCAGAGGCGCAAAAGTATAAGTGAACTGTTGCAACTTGTAATAAAGTAAAGGTATGACCAGGGGTAAGGTCATTTAACCGGCTGAGGATGTTTGTAAAGAGTAAAAACGGGCTGGTGATATCAAGCAGAATATCAAGAGCCTCCCAATCGGTCTCTACAAGAGAGAATTGTTCCTGTAGAGAGTGCTTTTCAACCCAAGCTGAAATCGTTTGTTTTAAGCTCTCTTGCGCGGAGACACATAAGTATAGTAGAGTTCTACCTTGTCTTAACATCGCGGAGGAGGCGTAGTGGTCGCTGGCCAATGCGAGTCGATTTCTGGAGGTCGAGAAACTCTTGCGTCTTCTTACTAGAAAGCTTAAGGGAAACTGCGAGGTCACGAATCTGGAGGTATATATGTTAATATAAAATCTTATAACTAGGTGAAGTATCTAACCTTTTGAATAACAGCTCCAAAAGGATTTTCCCTAGCAGTAGAATCTTCAGTATCAAAATCATCGTCAGAGTCCTCTTGATCTTTAGCTCGAGTAGTAGAAGGCTCAAACTCTGTAGAGGCTTCTACCATCGAAATTCGAAGAGCCTCAAAAATCGCTCGAACAACAAGGTTGAAAATATGGGCTAAACAGGGAATATGATATATCGGCTGTACTGTGGATGTCGACCCTTTTGCAAGTTCTTGTGCTAGGACTTTTGGCTTAAAAGAACTTGCGTTGTCTGCAGAGACTGTCTGAAATCGAATTGTCTTCTTCGTCTTCTGGCGAATATTTTCTAACAGAGTCGATAAAGCCGTTGCTTGCTTAGAGGCTGTATGACCATCTGTCATATCAATAGCACCAAGAAGAACCTGTTGTAACCTCCAGTGCTTGTCGATAAAATGGCATAAAACACCAAGCAGTGAATATTTTAACCCAGGTGTACTCCAGATATCAATTATCAGAGAGACATAGCTACCAGGCGGAATTAGCTGAAGAGTGTGGTGTTGAATGCGTAAGGCCTCCTCGGATATCCAGCTTCGGAGCGTCTTTCGAGATGGGAGGTGGTAGAGAAGATTCAGGTGTGAACAGAATTGCCGGAAACTTAAGTTGTCAACAGTATTAAGCGCTAAGTTGGATCCAACAATACAGTAAACTAATGCTTGATGCTCCGAGACTGCTTTCAATTGGGTACCCTAGATTGCGATTACTACAAATGATTGCTATAATGACCTGTAAAACTTACAGGCACCTGGTTTGCGCCTAAACGTCGAGTCTTATAAGACTTTGCAGCGAGGTATCGTTGCATAGCACTTGTACCAGAGTTTTTGATTGTTGGATGATTGAAAACTTGGTGACAGTGCTTGCAGACTAATTTTGGCTCCCCTGATGTCATATGGTAGCCTTGGTGAAAGTGATCCCAGAATGATACTCGGCGTTGTAAAGTCCACAAGGATTTGGCGAAGCGTTTTCGTTCAGGTTGAGGGGATTTGGACAACGGTGTGTGTTTGCCAAGGATTACCCATTGGAGATACCATGGCAGGGTTTTGAAAAACGAGAGAAAAGTCTGGAAAGTCTCAATAACAAATAAAATGATTTCCGACTGTATCTGTAAACCAGAAGGTGGAGTATTGATTGTTGGAGTCTGCGTAGAATTTACGAGCTCGAAAGCAGCAGAACAATCGGATGCAAAAGGGTCTGGCCTAAAAGGGTCAGACGCAATTGAGTTCGACATCATACGTAGTAAGAATTACCTTTGGTATGAACAGGAAGTAGTTTGCAGGATTACTACAAGATGAATACAAACATTTGATTATGTGGCCTTACGTAAATTTCTATTTTAGGGTTTCTGACTAATACGTTTCGTACACAAATCTAAAAGCTCTGAATTCTCCTTCGACTTGTTTTTTCTCCCACTTACATTCATCCTTCAATGCCTCGCTTATCAACTAGCCCTGTGTCAGATCAGAGCTCTCCGCTAACAGTGGAGGGCTCTTCACCGCCAAATAGTTACCCCTCATCATCAGCGAGGGGTAATCCCCTGAAACAGCCAATTACAGAGATTCGGGAGACTCCGCCAAGAAGTTCAAGTCATGCAACCTACTATAGCCAGGCTAGCCCAGACCTGAGTCAACCAGAATTACCACCGCTGAAGCGGAACTTTGCGACGAAGTTGGCGAGACGAACAGATACTGGCCAACCACCAACCATTGCACGGAAAGATCAGCTGAACTTCGCGCCAAAGAAGCAGCTAAAAGCTGCTCGAAAAAAGCCCGTCCAGATCACTAAACGCCAGAAAGTTCGTAGATGGAGGCCTGGTAGTAAGTAAGAAGTAACTCTTTATTGTTTAATTACTGAAATGTGAAGCAAATGCACTTCGTGAGATTCGAAAATATCAAAAGACCACCAATCTTTTAATTCCGCGGAGCAGTTTCGCAAGAGTAGTTCGAGAAATAACACTTGATCTTCCACTAAGAAACCGCTATAAGATCCGCTACCAGTCAATGGCTATAGAGGCTCTCCATGAGATGAGCGAACAGTTTCTAATCAACATGTTCGAGAGTAAGATATCCTATCCTGATCTTCAAACTATTATATTAACATGAATATTAATAGATGCAAATCTCTGTGCTATTCACGCTAAAAGAGTAACTTTGCAGAAGAAAGATCTTGACTTAGTTAAACAGTTAATGAAGAAGATGGGAGCATGGAGTGCTAGATTGTTTTAGCAGCTGTAGATTACTACAAACGATTGCTACAATACGAGAATCAGACTAGAGAGAATTCATGTCCTTATTCATGCTAGCCTTATTGCTAATTCTTAATTCTTAATCTGTCAAACAAACCCTCTCGCTATGCTCATCTGCAATTATAGAGAAAAGTCAAGCAAACGAGTTAGCTTCTGAGCCAACTCATGGACCTGACGCCAGTTGTATGGCGCTTTATCCCGAGCAAGGTCAAGCTTCAGGAAGAATGGTATCAGCTTTAGTATAGCTGAGAACTTCTTATCCATCGCAGATAAGATGTTGGCTGTTTTATCGAGAGTAGTAAACTCTTCCCAAACTTCAGCAGGGCCCAGAAGCTCCCAAACACCTTTCTTGATCATCGAGTCACTGATCTCAGAGAACATAGCCTTCACTGAAGGCTTTGGAGTGGAGGCATATCGGCGCTGAGCTGTAGTGAAGAGAGATCCTTGAATCTTGATGGCTGGGCGGTGCGCGAGTGCGAATTGGCTGAGAATATTAGTATTACTACAAAGGATTGCTACAATTAAGCACTTACGTCTTCTTCTTCTTGACAGAAGAATTAAGAACCAGGCGTATCTTCTTCTTCTTAGACAAGCGGTTCAGGTGCCAGTACTTGGCGAGTGCAAACCAAAGAAGCACTTCCTCTTTGGTGAAGATGTCGCCAGCTACTGGAAATTTAAAGCCAGGTCGAATGAAGCCATAATCCTCCATCGCAGCTAGGGTAAAGGCAGGATTGCTGTTCAGCCGCTTGACCTTGATGTAAAGTATCTCAAGAGTCATCTCCCAGGTATCACGGAAGAACTGGTATTCTCGGATCTGGTTTTCCTGTCTGTTTGTTAGCTATTGCTATAGTAATTAATTATAGTCATCCAGTTACCTGGATCATCTTGTCGATAATCGCATTCGACTGCTCAGCAACATTAATGGTCGGCAACTGGTTATCAAGGTCAACGTCAAAGTTGAGCATGCCCTCAACTCCATCCAGGTTTTCCTGGGTAGCCTCATCAATCTCATTCAAAGGGATATCCTCCCAAGCCTCGTCTTCATCGTCATCGACGATATTATAGGAGCTAGACGAGACTGGGCCAGTCATCTGAGCTAGCAGCTGGTCTGGATGGTTGCCTTTGAGGAAGCTAAAAGCACTTGAGCACTGATTTGAAACACCAAAAGAAATAAAAAAGAACTCACTATCGTGCATCAACTTGCTGGATTTCCCTAGCCTCAAGGGCCGCGCGCTCATCAGCAGACGCACTGATGTAGGAGCTTTTAGCCCTCAAGGCTTTAAGCTTGCGGGATTTCTGCTGGTTGATCGACTTCTTCGAGCGATCAAGTGCCTTCTGCTTCTCAGTCATCTTATCGATGCGCTGACGAGACTTCTTGGTGTGCGCGTTGTCGGAATAATCCTCTTCAGCTTTACGCTTGGCTCCAGCACCAGATCCAAGCGGTCGGCCTAGAAGAGATTAGTACAAATGATTGCTACAAAGCTAGTGTGAACGTACCGCGATCCTGTCCTGAGGACATATTTTACTACTGTTCCCTAATTGATTTAATAAGTCAAAACCAATAATTGTGAGATCAAAGTATCAAATTACCTTAATTGAGAGGCTTGTCGGTGCGGCTGGGTGTTAGTGGTGGAGGTAGGTTGTAGTGTTGTCTGGGGAGAAGTTTTCTGAAGCTTCAGAACCTCACAAAAAAAAAACAAAATACGCCAAAAAGTGGTCTGTGCGCAGCCGCGGCTTCTTGTTTTTTTTCTCAAAAAGAATCTCTTTGAAAACCTCTGTTCAGTAGTTATCTGTAAAAGATTCTATATTGATTGGACCTGGACTTGTGTTTCTAGGAGTCCTACCTGATTCATGGTTAACTTTATAATATGATGCCTGGCATAGCCCGAAAGACTATGCCTGGTGCTAAGGAGCAGCAGAAACGCCGTTGGCGCCCTGGCAGTAAGTCTAGATTGCTACAAAAGATGGCTACACACTAACCCTAATACCTAGCAAAAGCTCTCCGGGAGGTCAGGAACTACCAGAAGACATTTGACTTCCTGATTCCGAAGCCCCCATTCCAGCGACTCTGGAAGGAAATCTGCGATGACATCGACCCCTCCAAGCGCCTGCGCTGGCAGGCGACTGCTATTAGCGCTCTTCAAGAGTCTTCGGAGTCTCTTCTCTTTGGTGTTTTCGATAGTAAGCTTCACTTGCAAACTCTTATCGAGTTGAACGAACTATCTAGTGATTAACTTTGCTGCGATCCACACCAATCGCGTCACCATTAAGCCGAAGGATCTGCATCTCGTCCAGGCTATCTTGAAGGCCGGCAGAGTCCACGGAGACAAGTGGTTCGACCCCGAGTCTGGGAAATGCGGGCGATTAATTGAAGGCATTCAGGGCGTTCGGAAGTTAGGAGTAACAAGGTAGCAGGTCTATTCGTTGCGCAATATATCCACTCTTGAGGCTGGCTACTACAAAAGATGTCTAAAATTCGTGATGCATACTTACTGAAATCTACCCACGGGTATACACCCGTGGGTACCCAAACCCGTGGGCCCCCCTTCAGTTTACTACCCGTGGGCTTTTTTACCCAAACCCACTTTACCCATGGGTACCCGTGGGTAATAGTAAAACTTTCGGGCACTACCTATAACTACCCGACCTATTTCGCGGGTACCCGTGGGACCCGCGGGCCGGGTAATGCCCATGCCTAAAGGTAACCATCACAGGGGTTATTCTCTCCCGTTCCTCATGTTACCTAAACTAAACCTAACCTTTGATAAATCAATACAAAGCACTTGATCTATCCTCCCTTTGTATCTAATACTAAATAAGCACGATATCCCTGTTATGATTATCCTGTATATATGAACAATACACCCTGAATGGAAAGTTTATCCTAGATAGACACACACTATAGTTAATAATAACATAGAAAGCTTTTTCATAGTCATAATAGCAAGCTTTTTGTCAATAGTATAAAAGCATGCAGAATATAAGCTATAGTATGTAGTCTTCGTTATCAAAGCAAGCAGTCGAGCATATGAGACGTATCGCAGACAAACCGTATCCAAATCAAATATCGCAGCAGTTAAATTCAAACTAATTAGTAACTTAATAGCGGATTGTTTAGTATGCCATGTATGAAAGCGACGCTGCCGCTGACGTGACATTATGCAATGTACACAAATCGGTTTTGCCAATGGTGGTTCAGTTCTTGGACAGCAACAGCCGCGCTTTGGTGGCTTTGCCATTGTTATTATTGTTTGGCAAGCACGCAGGAGTACAAACAACACGAGATCAATAGATAAATATCACCTTCAGTAAGTGAGCCGTTTTCGTCGTTTTTAGTTAGTCGGCTGGCGTAAAAAAAAAAAAAAAAAAAAAAAAAACTTAGGCCCAGCACCTGCCACTGTCTCCTTACCAAACCAATCTCATCCAGACTTCCGTCTCGCAATCCTACCTAGCAGCATCGAACTATTTCACTATATCACACATCACGAACCACGACCAAATCAATAACCCTTCTACACTGCTACCCACCACAAAAAACCTGCTATCATACATCTCGTCAGCAAGATGTGTCCTAATGAGCGCCCCTGGTCCCAGAGCGAGGAAGATCAGCCTCCCATGGATGAAAACACCAACGAAGCCGACACGTTCGATGATCCTACCGAGTCCGAGATTGCGGCAGACACTGCCGAACAAGACGCATTTGTAAGCATTACCCGAATCTCGATAGCAATCCCTCAGATGACTAATGCGAAGATGTGTTCCCAGAATGCCTTCGTTAACACTATCGCCGAACTCCTTAGCCTCGGTTTCAGCGACCAACAAATTATGCGCGTGTTTGCCGAATGTGAGTCTCCTTAGCTGCGAACTACAAGATATATATATGTTAACCTTCTAAACCAGCGCTTGAAAACGCGAAAGAAATACGTAACGATGAGGATGAAGATGATAGCGGATCTGTATCTCTTTGAGTCAAGCAACAAGGGTAGGATGGCTTAGTCAAGTCAAATCGGGAGGTGCTTGGCCAGTAACATGATGAGATATGGGCACCTTCGTACGATAACTCATGGCACCCTGCTAGACTATACGTCTGTAGCTACGTACTAATATAAACCGACGTGACCGTGTCAATCTCGCTAGCTGTGACTGCATGACTAGAACGCGTGGAGGTGTCCGTATTTGTAGGCGTCAAGGGCATTACGCCAATTTTTTACTTATATGAATATAAGGCCGTCTTAAAAGTCGTACGTACTCGAGCAAAATAATGACAGGGAGCTCGTCCGTGTCCTGTGATTTCATTCGGAAAAACACTCGAGGTCCTCTGCAACGCAAATGTTTCAAGACCATATGGTCTACAAATCCAGTGCCGCTCTCTAGCCCGACTTCATAGAATATTTTAATTTTTGTATACCATATGGTGACTAAATAACAGAACCAACCCTTCTCTTCAGAACTTAAGGCCCACTTTCCCCCTCATCGTTCGACGCCTCATTACATTCACCTCTCCTAGCTTCCGGGGATACAAAGTCCATTAAAGGCAGCCTTATAACATCCTCTCGAGTCTTTCCATTGCGTATTTCATATACCGCCCGTGTCATCTCAATCGACTTACCGCTAATTACGTTATTAACGATGCTTATTTCAGCCGCGTCGCAAAGCAACTTAAGAGTCGGTATCCTGCTAGCTATGAATTAGCAGGCGACTTCAAGCTTAAGTTTTTTCGGACCCAGCTTCCCTCCACTCCTGAATTTCTTATACCAAGTGTCAAGCCCCTTTGGCAGAAATGCGAGGATGCCTCGCCTAAACGCGTCTACTAGCATGCCGATTGCCGTAAATCGGTAGATAGTGTCACCGAATTTGATATTGCCTGGAAGCTCTAGTTCCCTCGAAAAGAAATCCGCGAGACAGCTTTCCAGCGTTTTACTTTGCTTTGTTTCGAGGTTTTGAGTTTTGAGAAACTCTACCAGCTGGAGTCGTTTGGGACTGGTAACCTGGCCCAACTCCTTCAGCTCGTGCCACCGCTTCCACAGGTCGTATTGCCTCCAGTAGCCGTGCAGGCGGCCCTCCGACGTGCCGGCGCTACTGACTGTGTGAGTTACTTCTCCCCAGCTGCGGACGAACGAAGCCAACTCGTCTACGCCCGAATGTTGAAGTTTCTCCGCTAGCTTGTCAACCCGACATATTGCGCGATTGAGTCTATAAGCGCTAGCAGCATCATACTCCCTGATTAGGTAATAAAGTCGGCTTTCCACATCGTTCCCAAAAATCCGGTGGAACAGGAGGTCTCCAATCGAGTAATAATCTTCCTCTTGAAAAACGACATCGGTTCTGTTACTGAGCTCCTCCCTGAGCCGGAACATTGCATCCAGGTAGCTAGATTTACGTGCCGTGTCTAGCTTACCACCCCCAGCTAATCGTTCCTGTAGGCCATCTAAGGTTTTTGGTATCCGTCTTGCCGCCTCCCGCCTACGCGTGACCTTCCTCCTTGCTAACGTCGTATCCTCCTCGCCCGAGGAGAGCCCGGACATCCCATGTTCGTCTTCCAACGGCTGTCGAACCGTGGGTCGAAAGCTGGTGAGCTCCGCACCGCTCGCCGGAGTTGTACTATAACCTCGACTGCCTGTAGACTCTTCTTCTTGGGACGGCTGTAGGCATCCCGAGTCTTCTTTACCCTTCTTCATTATAGAATCTGGGAGGCGCCGGCGTCGTTTCGCAGGTGGCTCCGTCGAGGCGTCTCTACTTCGACTACGTTGCAGACTAGAAGCAGCCGCTGTACTGTCGTCCTCGTTCGGTCGCGGCGCCCTCTTCGTGTTATAGCTCGATATCGTCGTAATATCTTCTTCTTGAATTCCTGGTAAGTTGAGATCATATCGCGCCGGCGTCGCACGTACTTAGCAGGTCTAAATCCACGCCACTCTCACATATCTTTGGGTTACTTAGGGTTAGGGTTAGGG